ATCTCCTCTTTTAAAAAATGTGAAGGTGCACAACTTTAAAGAGTTTCATGGTCACAGAGCTCTTTCCTTCAAGAAATACAAGATGTCTCAATGACTAGAGAGGCTAAAGAGGGAAGAAAGAACAACAGCATGGCTGGCTCAAAAGACAAATTTAAAAACTTTTCTGATAAAACACTGATGCTTCAGGAGGTGTGTTCCCAGAAAGCTGTAAAGTAAGCAAGAGGAAGAGTTGATCCAGCAGCCAGACAACTTGTGCAGAGCTAAGGAATTGTGTCCATGAATCTAAAATGACACTCTTACAGATAGCACATAGTTGGATTTTTTTTTTTTGTAGAGACAGAGTCTCACTTTATTGCCCTTGGTAGAGTGCCGTGGCATCACAGCTCACAGCAACCTCCAACTCCTGGGCTTAAGCAATTCTCTTGCCTCAGCCTCCCGAGTAGCTGGGACTACAGGCGCCCACCACAATGCCCGGCTATGGATTGCTTTGTTTTATCCATTCTGCCAATCTCTGGCTTTTAACTGAGAGTTTAATCCATTTAAATTTAATGTAATCCTTGATAATGTAGGATTTACATTTCAATATTTGTTTTCAATTTTGTCTCAGGTCTTTTTGTTTCTCAGTTGCTCTATTACTGTCGTGTTTGGCATTACATACATATTTTCTAGTTGTAACATTTTATTTACCTTGTCTTTCTTTCACTATATATTTTTGAGTTTTTTCTTAGTGGTTGACTACCATTAACAACTCAATTTATAACAATTTAGTTTGGATTCATGCCATGTGAATTTCTACAGTATACAAAAACTTTGCTCTCCTGTATCACTGGACTCCCCCTTAAGCTTTTGTCTTTGTATAAAGACAAATATCATGTCTTTATACATTGTGTGCCCATCAATATAAATTTATAATTATTTGTTTAGGCCGTTGTCTTTTAAATCAGATAGGAAACCAAAAAGGAATGACAAACAAAAATACTTTTTATCATCTTTTATCTTTACCTTCGTAGTCACCTATACGATGCTCTTCACTTCCTCATGTAGGCTTGAATTATTGTCTGTACCCTTTCATTATAGCCTGAAGGATTCCCCTTAGTATTTCTTGTGGGGTGAGTCTGCTACGGACAAATCTCTTAGGTTTTTTTTTTTTTTTCCAGATATAGAATTCTTGGTTGATGGCTTTTTTCTTTCAGAACTTTGAATATATCATCCTACTACTTTCTATCCCCATGGTTTCTCATGAGAAATCATCTGCTAATCTTATTAAGGATTCCATTTGTGTGAGAGTGGCTTTTCCTTCTGCTTTCATAACTATCTTTGTCTTTTATTTTCTACTATTTAATTAGAATGTGTCTAGACACGAATCTCTTTGAATTGTTCCTCCTTTGGAATTCATTGAACTTCATCAATGAGTAGATTGCTTTCCATGAAATTTTGAAAGTTTGGGGTAATTATTTCTTCAAATACTTTCCCCCTTTTTGTCTTTTTCCTCTCTGTCTGAGATTCCCGTTATGCCTAAGTTGTTATGCTTGATGGTGTCCCACTGGCCTCTGAGTCTCTGCCTATTTCCTTTCTTTCCTTTTTCTTTCTATTCCTCAGTCTGGATAATCTCAGTTGACCATCTTCATGTTCATCAGTTTTCTTTTCTTGCCTGCTCAAATCTTCTTTTGAGCCATCTAGTGAATTTTTCATTTCAGTTATTCTACTTTTCAACTCCAAAATCTCAATTTGATTCCTTTTAACAATTTCTGTCTCTTTATTAATATTATTCAGTGAGACATTGTTCTTATTCTTTCCTTTAGTACTTCATATCTTGTTTCCTATTTAGCTCTTTGATCATATTTAAAATAGATTTAAAGGTGGTACCTGTAGCCCAAGCAGCTAAAGTGCCAGCCACATACACCAGAGCTGGGGGGTTGGAATGTAGCCCAGGTCTGCCAAACAATGACAACTACAACCAAAAAATAGCTGGGCGTTGTGGTGGGCATCTGTAGTCCCAACTACTTGGGAAGCTGAGGCAAGAGAATTGCTTGAGCCCAGGAGTTGGAGGTTGCTGTGAGCTGTGATGACACAGCACTCTACCCAGGGCAATAGCTTGAGGCTCTGTCTCAAACAAAAAAATAAAATAAAATAAAATAAAATAAGATTGAAAGTCTTTGTTTAATATCAATAGTAAAACAAAAATTCTAATTTAAAAATAAGACATAAAAACAGCAGTAGCTGAAAAAATAACATTACTTATCATTAAGGAAATGCAAATTGAAACTACAGTGAGGTATCATATCACCCAGTTAAAATGACTAAAAGAGAAAAAAATAACAAATGCTGACAAGGGTGCAAAAGAAAGAGAACTCTCAGCCTCTGTGGTGGCTCATGCCTGAATTCCTAGCACTTCAGGAGGCTGAGGTGGGTGGAATGCTTGAGCTTAGGAGTTTGGGATCAGCCTGAGCAAGAGTGAGAACCTGTTTCTACTAAAAATAGAAAAATTAGTCAGGCCTCATGGAGGGTGCCTGTAGTTCCAGCTACTTGGGAGGCTGAGGGAAGAGGATTACTTGAGCCCAAGAGTTTGAGGTTGCTGTGAGCTATGATGCTACAGAACTCTACTAGGACAGAGTGAGACTTTGTCTCAAAAAAGAAAAAGAAAAAAAGGGAACTCTACAGACACTGATGAGAACAGTAGGGAGGGTCCTCAAAAAACAACAAATAGAACCACTAGATAGATGATCCAGCAATCCAACTACTGGGAATTTATCCAAAGGAAAGAAAATCATTTATATCAAAGAGACATTTGCACCCCTATACTTTTTGCAGCACTACTCACGATATCCAGGATGTAGAATTAACTTTGGTATCCAACAACAGGTAAACAGATTTTAAAAATGTGGCATATAGGGCGGCGTCTGTGGCTCAGTGAGTAGGGCGCTGGCCCCATATAATGAGGGGCGTGGGTTCAAACCCAGCCCCAGCTAAACCGCAACAAAAAAATAGCCAAGTGTTGTGGCAGGTGCCTGTAGTCCCAGCTACTTGGGAGACTGAAGCAAGAGAATTGCCTAAGCCCAAGAGCTGGAGGTTGCTGTGAGCAGTGTGATACTGCCACGGCACTCTACCAAGGGCGATAAAGTGAGACTCTGTCTCCAAAAAAAAAAAAAGTAAAAATGTGGTATATACTGTATATACAATGAAATACCACTATTCACTCATAAAAAAGAATACAATCATGTCATTCACAAGAACATGGATAGAACTGGAGGACATTATGTTAGGGTAAACAAACCAAGAACAGAAAGTCAAACATTACATGTCCTCAGTTTGATGTGGAAACAAATAAAATTGACCTCATAGAAGTAAAAAGTAGATTAGAGGATACTAGAGTCTAGAAAGGGTAGGGGGAAGGGAGGGAGAGAGGGAGATTTGTTAAAGGATACAAAACTAAAGCTGGATAGGAGGAATAGGTTCTAACGTTTTACACCATTGTAGGATGACTGTAGTTAACAATAACATATTATATAATATAAAATAGCTTGAAGGACCATATTGAATGTTCCCAACACAAAGAAATGATAGATGTGCTAATTATAGATTTGATCGCTATACATTATATGTACAGAAACATGCAATTATGAAAAGGGCACATGGACATACTCTAGTCAGAGTTGCCACAAACCTTCAATTTATAAAAACAATCAAAAAATGAAGTATCTGCAAAGTACAACAAAACAGGGTATGTCTGTATGCCTCAATTTTTTAAAAAAACAAAAATTGTCTATTTTAATTTCTAATAGGATAAACACAGATATAACTCATAAACAAAAGCTCTCAAGTAGCTTTTAAGCATACGATGAGATCCTGAGACCGAAGTTAGAGAACCACTGAGCTAACACATTACTTTCTTTACTAAAGCAGTTGCAATTATTCAGTCTGGAGTTGAGGAAAGTGATTAAAAGGGAGGGCAAA